CTAGAAAAAAAAGTTAGTCCTTTCCAAGGAAGTTATGCAGTAAGTTGTTGTAAGGTCCTTGGTCCTTTCTGAAACCCTTGCCTCGCCCGCACCCCCTTCAGGCGAGTGTTTGTAGCAAAGATTCTCCACAGCGCGAACAAAAGCCCAAAGAGCAAGTGCAATGTCTTGTTAGTGGAGAGTCTTTGGTTGTAGGGTGCTAGTTAGTAGTAGTGGTAGACAGCCTTATGTCTGTCTGTCTGTCTGTCTGTCTGTCTGTCTGTCTGTCTGTCTGTCTGTCTGTCTGTCTGTCTGTCTGTCTGGCTGGCTGGCTGGCTGGCTGGCTGGCTGCCTGGCTGGCTGCCTCTCTTACAAAAATGTCCCAAAATTCCCGTTGTGGTGAAGTAGATGTAGTTCAGCTTACTCGGTCAGACCCAGCCTCCTCCCACCAACCTGTACCTGCTCCTGCTAGATTTAACCTCAACCCCCCCCCCCCCCACCCACACACGTACCCAAAATTATTATTGTCTCTAGTGTAACGAAATTAGGCACGTAAAGTTTGTTTTAGTAGAGGTTTTACGGGCGCTCGCAACTGCATAAGGTCATATTGAGCGCCAAGGGGTGAATGTCAACCGAGAAGCCTTTACAGGGAATCGGGTTTACTGTTCTCACCTCTCTAGCTTCAACAGCACAAAGTCTACTTCGACTATCAAGGCACCCCGGAAATAACGGGTCACAAGAGTGTGACAAACATATATAAATAAGTAGAGGAAATATGACAATAGTAAGGATTCGGAAAGAAAAAACAGCAGTTGCCTGTTGCAGTAAAGGCTCAGTTATGAGCATGACATTGATGAATCAGCCCTTTTACATTTACAATTCCACTGTACAGAAGAACATGGTTAATGCCCCCCCCCCCTTTGGGAATGGCCTAAAGACACTTCAGTCAGTAGCACCGCCCCCGGGGGGTGTTAGGCACTGTGCCGTCGCACACAGTTCACCCGAGTTCAACTCCCTTGTGGGGAGAGTTTGATCGAGTATCTCGGTCTTTCTGCTGAAACAGCGCGAAGTATTGTGAGGAACACCCTCCCCACTTGCCTCTACGACGCTACGAGCCCTCCCACCACATTAGCCTGCTGCAGATACCTTGAACTTGAACTACCCCCCCCCCCCCCCCCCATTTCCCCTCCTTAAAAAATCCAAGCCAATCCAAAATAAAACAAAACAAAGAAACAAACCGTTCACTATTAATTTTAGAGACAAGTATTTTGTGGGATACACCCCCCTCTTTTCCCATCTATCCCTCCCTTACACCCCGATGTGGGGTCTTTAACGTGCACAACTTGCACACGGGACCTCCCGAGATTTTTTGGTCCTTTTCCGAGAAGGCTAGGTGTTCGATCCTACTGCCATAAGATCGAGGATGTGACTGAAAGTCAGCCGTAAGAAGTAGCCAAGAAGTAGCAGTAAAAAGGCTGCAGGAAGAGTCAGGAACCCAGAGGAGGGGGCAAATGAGGTGAGAGGGTGGGGGTAGAAAGTGGAGACGAAAGCTGAGACGACAGAACATTGTTACAGAGCAGGAGAGAAGGTGAAAGGAGAACATTTTAGAGAAGAAAATTTTCCGTCGCTATCCAAACTCGAACCCGGAACCTATTGAATGAGAGGCGAACACCGTAACCTCTCGACCACGAAAACCCCTTCATCCTGGCCTGTTCGTGGTGCAATGTACTTGAGCGGACTTGAGTTCTGAGAAGAAACAAAATGAAGACAAGGATGCTATTGCTATATATTGTAATGAAGAAACAAAGGATGCTATTGCTATATATTGTAAGGAAAGGAATACAATCATGGAAAACTTTCAGTCTGTCGACATCCCGGATTAGACTGAAGTTCTTTGACCTCGACTGCTTGTTGTTGCATTTTTTTGCTTGTTTTTAACATTGCCATTGGAGCTCATGTGACCGTATGCTGTTGCGAGCGCCGTTAAACTCTTACTAAAACAAACTAAAAAAACGTTGCCAGAGTCTGGACTTCTTTTTCTACTTGTGATTTTCTCCAGAGCTAGAAAGATGGGGTTGTCTCTAATCACAACTGATGGAGAGGGCACGTGCGGTGTATGTCGAG